ACGAATCCAACACCTTTTCCGTATTTGCATCGACTTCATCGGGTGCGGGGAAGTCAGCCAACACCATCGGTTGTATTTGTGGCAATTCAAAGAGTTTGAGAATAAGGTTTAAGACACCATTCAAGAATTGGTGTTGTGGGTTTCTTAATACAAAGTCGATGGCACTCGACCACAAGTCAACAACAGTTTGGATCGTTTCTAAGGAGAATTCAGACGCTTTGGACTCCGTTTCTAAAACTTGGTGGAACTTCTTCAGTTGTGTCTCAAGACCATCTTCGGGATTACTAAGTGTAAAAAGTTTCGACTTTCCTCCTTTAATTTCGTTCAACGTTTTTGTCAGTTTCTTGCTGCTTTTCTGAACAGTCTTTGCGGTCGGCGACTTCGACATTGCTTGAGACTTTTCAGTTCTCAGTTGCTTCGTTTTTTGACTCATTTTCAAGAAACAGACTTGCTTGTGGTTAGTTTTTTTATGGTTTTTTATAGTTTAAAATTGGTTCTATTGTTTGAATATTTAAAGAACTTCTTTAAGACAGATTTTACCTATATATACAACAGAAAGGCATTATTGTATAGTTGTTTTATAATAAAAAATATTATTGTTAATAGCTTTAAGCTACTTGAACTTGCTCTTTAAGTTAAATATACAACAGGCAAACTGTTATTCTGATGTTCTTGGTATACAAGAATTATTCAATTAGTGTTATAAACATTTAATTTGATATTATAAAACACAAACACCATTAAAATCACTATTTTTTATAATAGCTTTAATTAATAGATTTTAAAAAATTGGATTTTTTTTTGTAAAAAACTTTATATTATTTTTAATTAAAGCAAATCTGATAAAAATAAAGGAAAAAAAATAACTTATTTTATACTATAATTTATAGCTCAATTGCTTTTTTATTCATTGATAAAACTATTAACAAAATGTAATACATAATTAATAATCAAAACAATTTGTTTTTTTATAATTATTATAAATTTTATATACAGTAAAACCTCCCAAGAGCGGAACCTCTGAAGAGCGGTTTCTCCCAAGAGCGGGCATTTTTTAGACTGAAACTAAAAATAGAGTTCTCTATCGAGCGGTAATTAAGGTTTGATTGGCTAAAAATGCCCGCTCTTGAGAGGTCTTACTGTATATACAAACCCAAAAAAATACTTTTTTAACAGGCCAAAATAACAAAATAAAAATTCAATTGTTGAAAAGATCTCAATTACTTCTTTGATCTGTTGATTAAAAACGTACGACTTGCAACTCAAGTAACGACTTGTGCTTGCCAAATGTTCTGATTGGAAGTCTAGTTTAATCAGTAACAGCTTCTCAATTTGTTATAACGGAAGAAATCTCTGAAATCTAATAATTAAACAAACCCAAATACCTTTCGTGTACTTTCTTTGATAAATTTTTGTTTAAATTGTATTTTTTTATTTTTTTTAAACTTAAAATTAACTATTTTTTGATTTTAACTTAAAAGCATTGAAATACCCAATTAAAACGGGTATTTATATGGCAAGCAAAACATAAAATGAATTCACAAAATCGAACACAATTTGAATTTTTAATTACCAAATACTGCAAAATGCCTTTAAAACACTTCGGAATAAATTGCAGACATTTCGGGAAGAATAGGACATCCCAAAACTGTGAAAAATCATAATATAGTGATGAGAGTCATTGGCACATGTTTTTTGTGTTTGTGCTGTTTGTCATTGGCCGCAACGAAGGGAGGGGGGTTGTATGACGCAAACGAGTTTATAGACGATTTAGTATCATTAGACGTTGCGGAAGAAGAGACAATGGGCGAGTTTGAGTTGGAGAATGATTTAGAAAGTGAGTTGGACGATTTCGACGATTTTGCAGACGACATCAATTACAGAGCCTTTCATCAGAAATCCAAAATGAGTCAGTTGGCATACCAACGCGCGCTTAGACGTCGTCGAATAGCTAAACGCAGACAAATAGCGTTTGCGCGAGCAAGGCGTATTCGAATGAAACGCAACCAAAAACGCCTTTTAAAGGCTGCAGCGAAGAAGGTGCAAAAAAAGAAGAAGAATACAACCAAAACCGAGAATTTCAAGCGATTGTCAAAACGAACGCAAAGGCGTATTCGCAAGCAAAAAGCTCTTAAAAAGCTGAACAAGAAGGATTTAATGAAAGCAAGAAAAATTAAACAAACCAAACGTATAGGACAAAAGTTAAGTCGACAAGAAGTCAAATTACAACAAGCGATTAGTGTACTACAAAAAATCAAACATCCCAATTTGTCTGAGAAGTCGCTACTTAAGAGACTTGTAAATCAGAAACGACTTGTGACATCTGCACGTAAAAGAGTTGAAAAGATGGAAAAACAACGAGAACTACAGAAACACGCTGAAAAAGTGAGAAAAGCAACTTTACAGAAGAAAATTGCACAACAACAGAAGTCAAGAAAACAACGAGAAAAGGCCATGAATGAACGAACGGCTAAACTTAGGAAGAGAATCGAACTCATCAAGAAGCGTCGTGCAGCTCTACTCAAAAGAAAAGAACACGAAAGAATGCAAAGAGAAAAGAATACCCTACGGAGAATCAATTTGGCGAAGCGAATTGCACAGAGAAAGAGACTCTTGCGAAGTCGTGAATTGCAGAGGAAATTAAAGAGGCAAAAAGCACTTCAAAATCGACTGATTCAAAGACATAAAAACTACATCCAACGAATGGCACAGAAAAAACAGCAACCACCAAACCTCAAACAAGTAGTTGAAGATGGAAGAAGAAATCAAATGATGAGAAACGCACAAGAGGCATTTAGTAGAACTTCAAAAGAAAAGAATTTGAGGGAAAGAGTCGAAAGTGAGAAAGAGCGACATCTCCGTGAAATCAACGAACTCAACTTATTGAAACAAATGAGTCAAGAAGAGGTTGAGGGACTTGGAAAGGGGGTGGCGCAATCAATCCAAAAACTGAGAAAAGAGTTAAAGAAGTTGTCGAGCGAAAAAAAGGTTCAAATCCAACAACAAATCGATGCGATCAGAATGCTCAGCGACAAGAAGAGAGTCAAGTTCTTGAAATCACTCGACGTGTTGATGGACCAAGCTCTCACAAAAGAAAGAAAAACCGTCGATCCTCTCGACGTCTTCACAAGAGACGGCAAAAACGCGGAGTTGGTGAGAATCGCACGACTCAGAAACAAAGTTTTGAACCAACTCGATATGATAAAAGTCTAATTATTTTGAAAACATTCAATTTTTGAGGTTTTTCGCGTCGAACTACAAAATATCTTTTTTAGATACAAAACGTCAAAATTCTTTCCACCACTTTTTTGTTCGATTTAAAAAACATTTGAAACTCGAAACTGTGATTTGAAGGATGAACGTCTTAATACCACTTGGAACGGGCGCAGGTAAAGCAACTGCTTTTCGGAACGTTTGTATTACAATAATATTATATTATTATAACACTCTTACACTCTAATGTAACATGAAGTGTAACAAACAGACAACATCAAATGTTATTCAACTTGATAATGGGAAAATGGTACTGATAGATTGTGGAGATGTTTGTAACTTGCTTCAAATTAATAACATTCATAAAGAAGGGAATTTTGAACGCATTGACTAAGATGGGAACACCACTCAAAAATATTGAGGCGATATTTATCACCCATTTACACTCCGACCACGTCGGTGGAATCATTTCCTTTTTGTTCAATTTTGTGTTGGAGTCTTGCCATGTATTTGCACCAAAGGGTCTTAATCTTCTCATAGAAACATTCAAATTCATTAGTCAATCGACTATCCCGCCGAGTGTCTATATTCATGAACTCGAATTTGTCGACGCGGAAAACATAGCGACTTTGTCGAATGGCATCAAAGTATCTGCAGTCACACTGCCACATGAGATTCAGTCGTTTGGTTTTATTTTTTTGGATAAAAGAGGGTTGGTGGTTGGAATTCTTGGCGACACAAAAGGAAGAGAGTTGAGTCAATTACACAAAGTTCATGTATTGGTTCATGAGTGCACCTATGGAATGGAGTCGACACTCAAATACATGCATTCGAACCCGAAAATTGCGGCTGAGTGCGCAGAAAGCGTTTTTGCAGATTACTTACTTTTAACACACTTCTCGCCGAGATATCAAACACTTCAGAGTATACAAAAAGAGACTGCAAAATTTACAGATGCGGAGGTTGTCATTTTAAATGATTTCCAGCCTTTTGATTTAAAAATAATTGATGTCTGATTTTATTTATTTTATTGGGAATAATCGGGATAACAGTTAAAAGGTATACAACATTTGAATTATTTGAATTTGCAAACAATACACGATATGTTATCTGTGCTGCCAAGGCTAAGAGAAACATCTTTAATAATATTTGCTATGACAGATGCGCGATAATCGGCATATTTTCTGACTAAATCAGCAACACATTCGTTGGACAAAACATCCCATACACCGTCACACGCTAACACTAAAAACATATCATTTGGCGTCTTTGTATACATCTTAACCTCAGGTATAAATGTATTTGCAGATTGATGTGTTGAGTCGCCCAAAGATCGTGATATCGCTAAATTTCCATTTGTCCGACTCCCAATAACATATCCCCCACACTCTCTGATCCGTTTGTACTCAAGTGGATTTGAAGGGCGGTGGTCTGTCGTCAACTGTTCAACGCAATCGTCACCAACAAGTAAACACCTGCAATCCCCTGCATTTGCGGTGTACACGTTGAGCTCAGTAGCCAAAACACACAGACATGTTGTTCCATCCTTCACTCCCATCTTAATAAGTTCCTCCTTGTGAGTTTTATATCCTTTAATAAATATTTCATGGACCTTAAGTAAAACAAACTTCATTCATATCTCTGAATGCCTGTGTCAAACCACCTTCAATTGTCTCAAACTGCTTGGTCAGACTATTCTCTAAAAACCCACCTAATTTTGCAGCCACAAGCCTCGCTGAAACAGACCCCGAGTGACCATCACAAACTACATAAAGCCTGTTTCCCTTCTTGATGTAGTTGTCAATGACTCCCATGAAGTCTTGCATCTCTTCTCTATATCCTTTACAATCTGCAATTCCAAAGTCATTCACAATATTAGTTTCTTCGAAAAGTTCACAAGTGACATCTTCAAATGGTTGTAACCTCCCAAATTCCGGTGTTGTGATAATTCCCTTTTCTCGATTTATCGTCGCAGATATGGAAGCTTTTGGCCGTTTGCATACGAATGGATCCATCAGTGGGTTTCCAGACAAATTGATTCGTTGAAGGTTATACAACGAAGTGCTCTCTTCAAAGAACTCGTATGGAATTTTAAGTAAAGGGTTACACGACAAATTGATATCCTTCAATGTTGTGCATTTTATTAAAGCATCAAACATGATAATTTGGTTGTTACTTAAGTCGATATTAAGAAGGGACACCATACTTAAATAGTCTGGTATCACTCTAATTGAGTTGGAAGCTACCATCAATTCCGTGAGTTGTGGTGGAAGGCGTGGTGGGAATTGGGAAAGTCTGTTATGATTCAACCCGAGTAACTTTAATTTAGGAAGGATGAGTAAAGACAATGGAAGTATAGTGATATAATTATAGTGGCACACCAACCTTTCCAAATTGGTCAGGGACGATATAACATTTTCTGGAATTGATGTGATGTGGTTGTAGGAAAAGTCGATTTCCCTCAAATTAGTCAACATGCTCACAAAATTTGGAATTTCAATAATTTTATTCGAAGCGATGCAAAGAACTCTGAGAGTGATTGGGAGTAATGGTACTGCTATCATTGCGTTTCCTGATAAATCAATTTTAGTGAGTGTGTAATTTGAGCACATTTGGATGGACGATAATTTGTTGTTTCTCAATACAAGAGAACGGATTGTTGTATTGAGTGGTGGAAGTGTTTTAAGGTTGTTATTTGACAGAGAGATGTCCCCAATAGATGGAATTGCTTTGATTGTATTCAATTTGACATTTTCCAATAAAAGTACATTCAATTTAGGTAAATCGGTCACTTCCGAAACAGTGCCGCCTTTGATAGTCAAGTGAATTAATTTTGGGAAATTGGCAAAAGAAAGTGTGTTTATTGTTAAGTTGTTGAGGGTTAACATCTTAAGAGAATTAGAAGAAAAGTTTAAAGACGTGAGAGCGTTGTTTTCAAAGTCGATTGAATTTAAGGAAGAAAGTGCAGAGAAATAGTTAGGTAACTCTGTTAATCCCAAGTATTGTCCAAGTAGCGTTTTCAAATTACTCAAATTAGTAATTTCTTTTGGAAACGATGGAATTTTGTTGCAGCTCACATTGAGATTTACTAACATTTTTAAGTGACAAAAAGCTTCTGGAAAATGGTCGAGGAAGTTATTATCTATTTCGATCTACATGTTACTATTTTGTTGTTTTAATAGATAACACAAAGACAAGAAAACAAACCCCAGTCACGGAAGTTAACACCGACATTTCAATTGGCACTTTATGAATTCGATTAACAGAAAGATAGATCGCTTTTAATTGAGTAAGTGACGAAATATGATGTGGAATTTCAGTGATTTGATTCTGTGAAAAGTTGAGATAAGTCAAGTGAATCAAGGAAAACACTTGTTGCGGTATCTCTACGAACTTATTTGCAGTGAACGATATTTTTCTCAATGAAGTTAATCTTGCAAATGACACTGGAAGTGTTTGTATAGCATTTGTGTTGAGAATGAGGTTCATTAATATTTTGAACTTTTCCATTGTAGGGAGTTCCTACATTTGAGTTTTCAACACGAACACGTAGAAAACAAACAGTAAAAGCGTTGACACTCAAATCAACAGTTGTGACTGAGCTCGAGATTTTTAACAATTCCGACGGAAACTTAACGAGTCCTTCCGCAGTTTGTTTGTATATTTTACCTGATGGTATTGACATAACACAATGGAATGTTAAAAGATTACAAGTAATTAATTGTTCGATTTATAGTATTTTTTATTCATTATATTGATAAAAAATAATAAAACTATTTATTATATTGAAAATAAATAAAATGGATGATTTGTGGTAATATCGCATCTGTTTTATTTTTAAACACAACTGATATGGTTTTGGAATAAAAAAACTTTATTTTTTTCTGTGTTATTAAGCCAATCAAAATTTGTATGAAATTGTTTTAACCAAATTGTTTTTTCTTTGTAAAATAACAATTGGCCGTGATGATTTTTATGGTTTTTCTTTTGAAGTTCTTTCAAGTTACAATCTAATATTTATTGCCTACAAAGTGATGAGTATATTAGAAGAAGTTGTGATTCCAGAAATTGAGAACGGAGAGGGGTTGTATGACACAGAAGAAAAACGGATTTTACTTGAAAGAGTAACAAAAATCAAACTGGACAACTGCAATTTGTTACAACACTTTGCTGAACTTGATACAAACTTTTCCATACAAATTTCAAAAATTAACGAGGAGATCGGTGTCGCCTTTAAAAATCTCAAGTTTTCATGCCAACACGAAGTCCTTGAGGAGTTCATGAATTATAAAAACGCAAGACTCATCACTCTCAATTACAACCG